CCGAAGTTGACTTTGAAAAGCCATGGTTCTGATTTTATACATTTTCAAAATTTTGTGTGCATTTGGCACTGTTACAGATTTTAAGAAATGAAAGCACCTAGAAATCCTGGTCATCAGTCCTGCTTTTCCCTTCCATCCCAGGTCTCTTGCCTTCTCTGTATTACAGCTGACTGGTAGGTCTGAAAGGTCTGCGGTTTCCTGACCACACTTTCAATGGCTTTAGACAGGACTATCAATTACTTTCATTCCAATTAAAATTAAAGAGCTGAAACAAAATTGTCAAATAAAGAACATGTTTTAGGAATCTATATTCATTATAGATGTGAACAGTTTTTGTGCTTTTTTTTTTTCTCAGCAACAACCAGGAAGGTGAAATGGAGAAGATGGTATTTACATTTTTAGGTGATACAAAGTTCAGAAAAATCACAATTAGCTTTGAGAACAATTCTAAACACAACAGTACTGATATATGAGAAAAGTTTGCTATCACCAATATTTGATTTAAGATAAATACATTTTAGTCATGCAATGCCAGAAAAAAACAGTATTTCCAATACACTGTATATGGCCCAACAGAGCAGTACTGCACAAATGACGGAACTTGTGTTAAGGGTATTAGGGTATGAATAAGGGTTATTCATGCATGATGATTATTTTAATGTACCAGGACCAATCAAGCTTTTGCATTCAGGTTTGAACACTATTTTAAAGGAAATAGACGCTAGACAGAAAATAATTATTTAAATGCTTTGAAAAAAGAAAGACCAAGTTCTTCATGCACCAATCGCAGTGTTTAGATCCCATTTACTTAAATCAGTGACAAAAAATCACCTAGTTTTCAGTGCAACAAGGTGCTGATTCTCATGGAAAGCCTTGTCTGTTATTTGGTGGAGGTGCAAAAACTGAAATCTGGAAAAAATCACTTTCAGGAAAGTAATGAAGAGCTCTGGCACTGTTTCTCTGAGCTGGCCCTGAAAGAAGTTGCATTTGTATTGTGAGCTTTAATACTGTTTCTGGGGATAAATACATTTCTCTTTCACTTCTGAATAATTTGTCGTCGTATTTTATAGTGAAAGACATAGCTGCCAAAACAGTGTGAATATAATCTATGGAAATTAGATAGTTTGATAATTTATGCAGTAGGCCCAATGAACAACCTAGCTCGTGTAAAAAGAAGTGAGAGTGCTTAAAAAGGCACTTCAAATAATTTTATAAATTATAAAAATAGTTCAATGCAGAGTTACTGTATGTTCTTGTTTGTTCTCGTCCTATTACGTTCTAGCCCCATCTTTAAAATCAGCATTGCAATATCTCTTCCTTTTTGAATGGAGGGAACACTCTGCTCCGCAACCGCTTTGGTGATTTCTGTTTTGAAGGAAGATGCTGGTTCTGATAACTGGATTTTGAAGAAGCTGTTGTGCCCAGTATGCTCTCTATATGGCTGGGTAACAGGGAAGGAGTAGTACGTTGTATGCAGAACAAAGACATTCCTGACACGCAGAATGCACAGTTGCATGTTTAAATTATGTACTCTACAAATCATCCTTGACATTTTGTAACTTTAAATAGCTGTTTCTCAGAATCTCTGTCTTGGTACTTTATATGGCTCCCATTACTATTGTTCTCAGAGCAGTTGCAGAACTACTTTTCTCCTCCTAGCATTCCTCTGAGGTGGAAAACTATTATCTCCACTTTACAGCTAGCTTAAGGCTGAACAAATGTTGGATCATTTGTCCGATCTATAGTCATCTGCTTAAAGAAAGTCTATGATTGAGGATATATTCAAGGCTGGTCTGAGACTTACCCTAGTGTCCTGATCGTGAGGCCATCCATTTTACCTTTAAAGCTGTTGGCTACCACATCAGAAAGGGACAACAAACTTTCTGATGGTTCTTGTATTGAAAGAATAATTCTTTCATAAATCTTTTAAGATCTTTTGCTCACCTGTAAACTCATCTTTGGGCTGCATGTGTAGTTATCTAGCTCCATTTGAAGAAAGCAAAATGTGTTCCTCTTCAGAAGGCCTAAAGGCTTTTCAAACCATCAGACAGTCATCAGTCATTCAAAAATAATAGAGAGTCTTCTAATTCCCTCAGGCTGTACGCTTTGCCTTTGGAGTCCTGGCCCAGAACTTACGTGATCAAACTGCTCAGGAGCCAAGGGCCGTTCAGAGAAGGGCTCTTGGCCGCTCTGAAGTCTCCAACTGCTGATCTGGAATCCCTAACAAAATCCCTTCTTCACTATCTCTAGGAAAAATAGAAAGAAAATGAATGTATTTTAGAGCAATTGAATTTTCTCATTTTCTAAGGAGGGCAACACCTTGGGTGCTCTACTGAGCGAGAGATCTGTTATTAAATGTGAATTTAAGCAATCACCAGTATGAAGAAAAATCTTACAAGTGCTTTTACTTCAAATGCAACTTTTTTTACTAAACCTATTCTCATGAACTACATTTTCTCAGTGCACTTTGACAATACAAATGTTTTAGGGGAAGGCATGATGCTCACTCTTATGTCACCTGACTGTCCTTCATTAGCAGATGTCTCCATCTTAATGTTGCAGTCAGTTTCTTTACACTTCTTTTTATAGAAAATTATTTGCATCAGAAATGCTGAATAAGGAAAGCTCAAGTTATAATACAATTTTATTGATGCTAAAGAAATTAATGCCAGCTAATATTCTTGTTTCTTGTTCTATTTTTCTTCTGTGTTTGATTTTTGGTAATTGGCCCAAATTGTGTCCCACAGTGGGAGCCTGGCAAAGAGAGAGGGATGAAGAATGGAGAAGAAGATTTGTAGGTGGCAGGGACAGCTTGCGTATGTGGCTGCATACGTATGTGAGCTGGCATAAAGCAAGGCTATGTGGATGCTGTTTAACTAATATAGTATACGAGCCCTTAGCTAGCTAAGAATGTGATCCAGTAAGGGCAAAAGAAATGTTTGCAGGTGCCCCAGTGGTGGTTGATTTCTGTGCAAGAGCAATCAGCATGCACTTAATCACTTCCTAGGAGATTATGTCTGTGAAAGGGTGAATCATACAACTCTTGGTTGACTCATGGCTTGAAAAAAATGGAATTACCACAATCCAAACTGGTAGGAATTTGTGTTCATGAGGAGAAAAATAAAATGCTTGTTTACACAACAAATTTAGGAAGAGGATACTTTACTGTTTAGTCCTTTTACAATGATGAAGGGAAGAGTGGGTTTTTCATTTTTACAAGAAAGAGACAACTGGAATTGAAAAGGAAAGCTAATATATTGCTATTCCATTTCTAGCTATGATCTTGCTTGATCTCATAAGTTAAATAGGGTAAGTGCATGTGACGTTATTAGAGGAAAAACTAGGCAATAGAGGACAGAGTATTTTAGTTGCTCGGAGGACCTCTTCCTCCTGACTCAGAAATAAAGCTGCATCTCTACATGCTGTCAATGGCAATATGTTGTTGGTGAACTACCTTTTGGATAGCAGCTAAAGCAGAAGTTATGATCATCAGTGGTTATTAGAAACCAAAACGACCTGTCTTAGGGCTAGTGCATTGGCTGCATCCAGATTTTGGTAAGTGCTTTACATCTAGTCCAGTTTCTCTTGTAGTTCCAAGTGGATGGTATATTTTCTTGCTTTTTTGCCTAAATCTGTTAGGTGTTGCTGTTTTCTATTATATTCTGAGCTTTACCTGAGAGACAGCTCAGGTAAAGTGGTGGGAAGAAAAGCCTCAAAGGGAGACAGATATTTGATAAATCCCGCTGAAATCCATTTGTAGAGAAGGCACGAAGTTCCTTCTAAAGTGATTCCTTCACAGAGTGTGTTACCAACTTTAAAATATTTGGATAGAAATACCCTGTCTTTCTAGGTTACATGAAAAACCATGAGAAAAGAAAGAACCACTATACTTTAGTTTCCATAAATAGTATTGCATACACGTGATGTTAAATGGATACCCTGTTACCATGAGAATTGACACCTATAGGTTTGCACAGAGGACACAATATTCTGCACATTTACCCACCTGTAACTCAGTGTTTCAGTTTCTCAGATTGTTACAGTTTCTACAGCGGTTCTGGAGGGGTATTTTTGAACTCTGCATCTCTTGTTTAACATGGCAGCTCTGAGAGTCCAGATACATTTAGCATGTACTGCATTCAGTTCACATTTGTTTTAAAGAAGTCATTTTTGCTCTCTGTGGAGGCTTCAATTACAGTGGGCCAAACGACAGGGATAATTAAGGCAAGTGGTGGAATACCAGCAGAACGCTTTGGTGTTTCCACCAAGGATTTTGCAAATCCTAGCTTGATTAATCTGTTTAAACATCTGTGCATCCTCTTGTCTATGCAACTTATCCCTGGGTAGCTCTGTCTCTTCCGCTCTGTGTGTACCGTGCATGCATTTGTGCCGTATGGACTCCTGCTCGCAATGGATCAAGCACAATCACAGCTCATTCTGCCGTCTCGTTAAGCGCTCGCACATGATGCGGGCGGTAATATTTCAGCAAATTACATCGTCCTCCTTTAAATTCAGCTCACAATTGCATTCCGTAGTGGAACCGCAGGGCAGAGCCCACAACGTTGAGAAATCGCGTCGAAGAGGGGCTGGAGGCCGGCGGCGCCCATTGCCGCGGGCGACCCG